TAGCTCGGGATGAGCTCCCCGCACGGCTGCGCCCTCTGCGGTTACAGAGACATCTCTCTCGTGTCGAATTCACTAGCGAGAGATTTGTAGCGAATTAATCATGGCCGTCAAATAACCATTAATTCTTGGCTGGAGATAAATTTGATTGACTGAAAGAATGCTAGATGTTTTTACGTTTAAGTCGTCTTATCAAACATAACACATCCACTCTTATTTAGTTCTACAAGTGTTCTTTTCCATACGAAAACGACTGAACTAGTCATGCATTTTACATACGTGCTTGTGATACGACAGAACATTTTCGACGATGCCAATTTTTAAATATTTGTGACTTAAAATCATCGATTCTGTATTAGGCTTAATAGATGAAGACATAACCGACAGTGCGATACGTGTTGGTTTAATGAAGAATGGTGTAAATGTGATTTTTAATTCAACAAAAAACTCTCAAGTGATTTGCTTTGTGTCATCGGGAAACAAAGGGTTTTGAGCTGTCTGTCGTCGCACAGGTTCATTATTTTTAACATGTCTCAGTGTGTTTACATGTCATTTTTCTGTTGAAATGTGTCGTCAGTTCCATGTTTTCTAATCAAGTCAATGTGATGGTGAAATGTGCAAAAAATCTTTCACCTCCGCTAGCGATTGCTAGTGCTCCATGGGGCGATGTATCATCAATCGAGTGATGTTGTCTGTCGCGATAAGCCGACGTCGGGCTTGTCTTCTGGCAATACTGTTACGAAATTATATTCTTATTACGCTACTGAAACATTGCCGAAATTGAAGAAAACGGCCAAGAAACAGAGCCCCCCTATGAATAGCTCGGCGAACAGCGGCGCTGCGAGCAGCACGCCCGCTCTGCCCATTACAACGGGGAGCAGCGAGGCTGGCAGCTCCCAGAGCAACAGTCAGGAGAAGCCCAAGACCACTGTGGCAGCCCCTGAACAAGTCATGCTGTTGTATATGAGCAAGCTCACTCCTTACGAGCACCACGAGATATTCTCTTACCCACAAATTTATTTCATTGGGGCGAATGCTAAGAAAAGAGCAGGCAGACCTGGTGTCAGTCTATCTGAATTCGACAATGAACAAGGATCTTATATTCATATCCCGCATGATCATGTTGCTTACCGGTATGAAGTACTCAAAGTCATTGGAAAAGGCAGCTTTGGCCAGGTTGTTAAAGCTTACGATCATAAAACCCATGAGCATGTTGCTTTAAAAATGGTTCGAAATGAAAAGCGATTTCACAGACAAGCCCAGGAAGAAATTCGCATTCTTCAGCATCTGAGGAAACAAGATAAAGATAACACTATGAACATTATCCATATGTTTGATTTTTTTACTTTCCGAAACCATATGTGCATAACATTTGAGCTCCTTTCTATTAATTTGTATGAACTGATAAAGAAGAATAAATTTCAAGGTTTTAGCTTGCAGCTGGTGCGAAAATTTTCTCATTCGTTACTGCAATGCTTAGATGCCCTGCACAATAATAAAATAATACATTGTGATATGAAGCCAGAAAATGTTCTCTTGAAGCAACAAGGTCGATCTGGTATAAAGGTTAATATTTTTAATTGAATCAAACTTGTAATAAACAAAAATTTAACTTAAGGGGGTCTTCCTATGTGACGGCCTGTTTTTTAGGGATATTTTAGGATTTTTTTTCTACGACCAGTAAATATTTAGAGCTTCAAGTTTTTTATCATTTATTAACACATATTTGGACAGTATAAATATAACATTTCAGCTAAAAATATTCAGTCAAACTAGAGTTACAGCGCTCTGAACACCCCCGCCTCGAAAAAAAGAGCTCCCACTTCCTCCACGATTCCGGCTGATCGGCTTATCTGAAAAAAAAATAAACGGCGTTTTAATTTGTAGGCTTAAAAGCACGGAATGACCTATAATCAAATGAGTAAAAATAATTGATTTTTGATAGACATTTGAAATAGAAGTTGCAAATTAGGCGTTTTTTTTTTTGTTTTTTGCTATAAAAAAATCGAAGTTTTAAAAAATTTTTCATTCATTCCATGCGTTTAAATATATTGAGTGTGCCCTGTAAATTTCAAGTAATTCGGTCCAGCCGTTTCTGAGATACAATGGAGGAAAGTTTGAAATACAGTTTTGAGAAAAACGCGTTTAAAGTTCTAACTGCCAACTTAGCGCTCCGAACCACTCTTTCTTTTACCTGCTGTATCTTTAAAACGACTTCGAATTTTCTAAAATCGCTTTACTACCGTATTCTAGACATGTTAAGGGAGCAATTTATGAAAAAAAATAGATTTTTTCAACCCATCACATAGGAAGACCCCCTTAAGTTAGGTTACTTAAATCACATGAATAATTTAACTTTCATTATTATATCTAATGGTCTCATTATTTCCAGGTGATTGATTTTGGATCTTCTTGCTATGAACACCAGAGAGTATATACATATATTCAGTCTAGATTCTATCGTGCTCCTGAAGTAATCTTAGGTTCTCGTTATGGCATGGCTATAGACATGTGGTCACTTGGTTGTATTCTAGCTGAATTGTTAACGGGTTTTCCTTTATTGCCTGGAGAAGACGAGAGTGATCAATTAGCTTGCATTATAGAGTTGCTTGGAATGCCTCCTAAAAGCTTGCTGGATTGTTCAAAACGATCAAAGAATTTTATTAGCTCTAAAGGTTTTCCAAGATATTGTACTGCAGCTGTTTTACGTAAGAATTACTATAGTTCTATAACTATACATTATGATATTTAATTCCATATAATAGTCCAGTCATTTAAGCTTAAGTTAGGTAAGAATCTCGTAATTCGAGATACCCAGCTGTAACTCTGTAAATTATTGGTTATATTTTACAGTTACAGTTATTATCTGTAAGGTATTGACACCCTACCATATGTAGGTTTTGAGACAACTTTTAAATTTCTTTAAAGTTTGAAGTAAATCTTTAAGTTCTACTTAAAAAAAAATTCAGACATATAAAAAACAATATATATCACACTTTTCTGTGGTACGATACAAAAAACTGTTATGACTCTAAGTAATTATAAAGACACTGGAATAAACACACTATATCTTTTGGATATTGCTTTATACTTTAACATACTGCAGAAAATAACGTGAGACATTATTGTAAATAGGGAATGCAATACCGATGAAAAATTTCAATACCGGTATTTCGGTAATTTTTCATTTTAAAACCGGAATACCGGTAAATTACCGGTATTTTTATTATCTTAAACAAAAGTAAACAAAATTGAAAGTTACAAGTAGAAATATAAAAAAATGTATATACAACTACATATATTCATCTTAACAATAAAATAAAACAATAAGTTTATTTTTTTAAATAATAAACTAACAAAAGTATATACAATTTAATTAATTCATTATCACTATCGAGTATATTGAGTACTTTTCACCAAAAACAAACTTATGAGTAAGAAAGACCAAAAAATCATAAAAGGTCATATTATATTATTATAATAAACTGTATTGTCTGTATCCGATGTGTTAAATTAGCATAATCTCCAATATATTGAAAAAAATAATTTTTCTACACTAATTTTAAAGTTACTATAATTGTTGAGTATTGTTATTTAAAACAATGTGATGCTTATATAGTATTTTCAAACTTCGAAAGGTTTTCGAAAAATAATATTTTAAAATTGTAATAAGAAGCAAAAATATTTAGTAATTATCATAATTATTCTGTATATAGTTGGAAAAAAATAAAGATTACGCAGGAGTAATCTGTATGATACAAAATATTTTGTCGCAAATATCACTTAAAAAACCGTTACATTTTTACAAAAGATGGAACAAACATCATTATCTATCAGTCCAATTCTATTTATTGTAACACGATATGAAGCCCTTTGGAAAGCAATAAATATTCAGTTTAATGACGAGTTGAGATAATATTTGACATTTGTTTATCACATAGAATCACTTGAAGATATATCTGTTTATGCGATTATGGAATTTAAAGATAAATTTGTTCCGAGAATATTTAAACTTTAGGGTATTATGTATCTAATAGCGCTTATGTAAAAATGTCGAAATTACCGGTATTTTTGGAATAAATACCGGTAAAATTACCGCCGAAAAATAGGGCGGTTTACCAGTATTTCGGTATACCGGTATTACATTCCCTAATTGTAATTGTCCACAAATTCATATAAAACAAATTACATAATATACACAATAATAAGTTTACAGTAGGTATATTTTTGTCAAAATGCTGCACCGAGTTTATGGTAGATTGTTTTTGAATCAGTGCTGAGTGGCGTGGGTTAAACTTGTAAATAATTAATGTACTAATTTTATTTCTTTTATAGGAGATGGAACTACAGTGTTGAATGGTGGTCTGTCAAGAAGAGGCAAGCCAAGAGGTCCTCCTGGTTCCAAAGATTTAAAGAAGGCTTTGAAAGGGTGCAATGACCAGCTATTCCTAGACTTTATCAGTCGTTGTCTGGAATGGGATCCAGAAAAGCGCATGACCCCAAGTGCCGCTTTACGTCATGCTTGGTTGCGACGACGTCTGCCCAGACCACCAAATGACAAATGCTATGAATGTGCAAAATTGCCTTCATCGACAATTATTACAACCACTTCTTCAAGTAGTGCTACTAAAACGAGCGCAGTTGTCAACAAAGCATCTATTCCTAGTGCTACTTATACGAATAGTAAGCTACGCGGGCAGGTGTCCAGTTCTTCAGATGAACGGTCTAGGCACAACTTAAATAATTCTAATAATAAACTTCCCAATATCCAAGGCGTGCAAGGAAGCTAGTAATGCCATGGTTAGGTAAATAGTTTTAATAATCCGACATTAGAATACAATTTTTGGAGTAAGCAGTTTTTAAGGAACTGGTTTGTGTTATTTGTACTGATTTGATGTGCACTTAGTGCAGCTTACATTTATAGCTTTTATTAATTTTAAATGATGCATTCAATTTGCACATAAGTAAATTGATAACACTGCCTTTTGTTGTTGAGTTGCTGATCTGGCGGAAATCATTCTATAACATTTACATTTTAATTCAATTGCATATATATATATAACATATACATTTTGGGTGTCCCAGAATTCAACATCAACCGGGGTGATAGTATTGATAATAGATGTCCTTTTGAAACAATTCAGAAAAAAAGTTTCTCTCATTGCTTTGGAATTAAGAGCTTTTAGATGCAGTCTAGAGCTTTGGTGAAATTGTGACCATTTGTCAGTTACTGTGGTTAATTTCCATTAATTTTAAGTTCTAGGTTCTGCACTTCAAAGCTCATAATTTCCAAACAAGAGATTTTTTTTTCTAATTTGTTTTGAGGACATTTATTATCAATAATATTAGCCCATTTTAACTTGATGATGAGTTCTGGGACACCATATATACATACCTAAATTACATATATATTCTACACACACACACACACATATATATATATATATATATATATATATATGTATGTATGTATGTATGTATGTTTGTATGTATGTATGTATGTATTGTGTGTTTATACATATTTAATAATTTCAGTAGTCATTAAATAATTTTTCACAAACAATCATTTTAGGTAGATTATTGTGATAAGATCATTTACAAATTGATCTCTGTGCATCTCAGTGAACGTAGATTTTTTTTTGTTTTAGATAAATGCATTTTATTGTTGACTGACGATGTGTATAATTCATTTAATCGTTTCGGTACGACTGATCGTCCTAAGGAATATAAAATTTTTCAGTTGCATTTGGACAATGAAATACAAATAAAAAATTTGAAGCGCTATTTTTTTAATCGATTTACAGTTTAATATCAAGTTTGGTATATGATAATAATAATGAATATAATAAAAGATAGCTCTTAATTATTAAACAGTAAAAATATTTGATTTCACATTTTTTATTCGAACACCTTTATTTGTTTGATTCAATTATTTCTGTAACATTGATGCGATTTTTAATTTTAAATGAATTGCTAAATTGCTCTAATTTTACTATTTTCTAGTTTTTTTTAATGTGCTAAATTAGAATTAATCTTTTAAAATGTGCTTCACGTTATTTATTTGTTATTTGCAAGACCTAGCAATTATCTATTAGTTTATTGCCAACTAATTTAGTTATTTAATATGTTCATATCTGACTGAGAGTAATATTTAACTCGCTTTAAACATTTTTTAAAATTAATCTAACTGACTTGCATTAATTTAGAAAAATATCAATGCTATGCTTTATTTTATCATTATTTTAGTGTTTGCTAATACGGCTAGATTATGTAGGCATACACATGTACTCATATGCGATTTATACAGCTTCATGTAAAATATGAAATATTAAGAACAATAATTAAAGAATTTGCTAACATTTTAAAAAAATTGTATTTTAAATATGGAAACTGTTTTCCTTCTAAGTTGTTTTTTATATATTTATTTACTAAATGTGAAATTACATTAAATTATATATATATATATATATATATATATAAGTGAAAATTTATATATCTGCTAGCAATTCTTAAGCATCGTGATCCTTAACATATTTTTCATATCTTGCATGTGCATGCATACATACCAATCGATGAATCTATGTTTTATTGCGTACATATATATGTGTAGATTAAATTGTGATAATTTTATTATAGTTCATATGGGAATCGATATGGCAGTCAGAATAGAATATAGACAGTCCTCATTTATGGTAGCACTACTTCTATTGTATTATTATTTAAATGTACTCTTTAAGAAATATTGACAAATGAATATAAAATAATTATATTTATTATACTAACACGTAATTATTTTGATGACATTTTGAAATTGCTCTAAGTGATATAATTACAAATATTTTAATACTTAATTCTTTTGAGATTGTTGTAATTCTAGAATTAGTATTTTTATATTAAAATTTGCTTAACTTGAATATTTTAATATTTTGTAGATCAAAATATTTAAGCCTAAATGACTAGATATGAATGAATTGAATCATATTATTTTCAATTACCGAAAGGGTTGAATTTTGTTACATTTACAATGTTTGGTATATCATTTTGTAGAGGATTGTCTGTATATCTATGTATATTAGCACAATTAATAGGAATTCTTTTTTGGTTAAGTTAGTTTTTTTATTGATTACCTTAGCGTTATAGTTATTGTCTTAACTTAGTTAGTTTTGAATAAGGAATAAATATCCCCAGTGCTCTGTAAATTATTGTCTATGCATCACAACTGTACATTGGTCGGTCAGAAGATATTTCATATTTGTTCAGAGTTGTGAGATGTTTAATTACGTTAGTTTAATTTACGTTTGTAAAACTTAAATTCAAGTAATGCTTTAGTAAAAGTTGTGCATTGCTTGTAATACAATGATGAATTTACATTTGCTATCTGTGAATAGTGCATTTAGACTTAATATTAGCTTAATGACAAAGGTCTAACAATTGATTTGATACAATTCTTCATAATAGTTAATGCATTTTGATGTTTTGCTTTTAAATTGTGTGACAGTTATAATATTTTGAAATATTATATAGAGTCACTGTAAATGGCTCTCAGATTTTTTGTATTAATTTTGAGCTAGTTCTCAAGTTTTAATCATTGCACAAAAATTTTTATAAATATATGGGACCACTATTTGTGGTGTTTTTTATTATAAAAATAATTTTGTATTAAAATAGGTTCTTTAGAATTGTAATATATAGAAATAGTAATAATGTAAATTAATGTGTTTGAGCCAAACATTTTTAAATGCAAATTTAAATATTAATGTTTTGTTCTTGGAAGTTTGAAATTTAAGTACATTTATTCATTTTAAATAGTTTATTTTGATCTTATATATGAACCAAATAATATTATATCTGCAAAAAATATTATATGAATGATCTGTGATTGTTTAAATTTCTGCAATTATAACATATATGAAACTATATTGATGGTGGAGTTGGAGCCATTTTATATTAGAGAGTTTGTTGATTGAGTTTGACTAATCGCCTTTTAATTAGTCAATTTTCTATGATAATTCTCTGGTGTGATTTGGCTAATACATTATTTGTGAATAAAATCATGGGATGTTAGTTATTGCATAGGTTACACGTACTACTTTAGCTGATACTGTTTACGTCAATTTAAATGTTTTAATGTGGATTTGTTTCTGATGTTTTATAGTTTTTGTATAATTATGTATTTGATATACAGTTCAAACAAGTCATTGTAAACACACCTAATTATTGTTTGGTTTTGCCATCTAAAATGTTTATAGTATAGTTTATACTTCTTATGAAGTGAGTATGGTATATGGCTTTGACTAAATAAGTATATAAAAAATAAGGATTTAGTCTTTATTTTTTGTATATTGATGTTGTCGTCATACCTTAATCGAACTAATTTGTCTTATTTGCTATGCAAAAGCTCTTGTTTCATAAGGTGTTTGAATTTTGTATAACAAATCTAATCAACTCGCCTGCATAACTCATTCTTCTAAATAAATGAATAATATAAAAATGTAGACAATCAGCTTTTGTTCTTCGTGTATGAAAGCAAAAAGATTCATTAAAAAAAAAGGCTCTACACTTCTTCATTTTGTGTTATGAGTTATATAGCCCAGTTGATTAGATTGCCAATAATCATTTTTATTTTAAGAAGGCTGCGAAAGCACGCTACTATCAGCAATATTAGATATGATCTCTGCCTAATACATGTTAGAATTACATATATTGATCCTGCTAGAGTGAACATGAAGCTACTTTTATTTGAAAATATTAAAATTTTAACATCTGTGAATGTTTAATATTGGGTAATATTGCTATGATTATTCATGGTCACAATGCGAGCTAGCTCTCTTAATTTATATAATTGTATGTGTGGAAATAACAATTCTTAATATGAATTCATTTAATCTTTAAGCTTTTGCAGAAAATGTGATATGTAAGTTATGAATCTGTGTAGCACAAATTATGTTTTGCCTCATACACACTGCACAATTCATTGTTACATGAATTCAAAATTTAATCGAGTGTAAATTTGATGAAAATAGAATAAGTTTGTACAAAGTAATATTAGGTCTAACAATGGAAGTAGCTTTATGATAACTCATGGGCATAGCATAAGAAATTAAATCGTTTATTAAACATTAAGTTATAAGACTGTACCAATTGAGATTATCATTAATTTTGTGTAGATTGATCATTAAAACACAATTATTGAAACACAATCAGTAAATACAATTAAGAACAAATAGTCTCTTTGCATAACTTTGTGCAATTCTTGTGATGCCCGTCCAATATCAAGCTAAAATATAATGATAATTATTTGATTTGTTTCAGTGATGGTCGGACATTGGTTTGTTCACATTTTTTACTTGTGCAATTATTTAATTTTGTATTAATGCGCATATAACTAAAATTTAATACATTTAATAAAATATTATATAAAGCGTAGTTTGAATTTTATTGCAACATGATTAAATAATCATTAATATTATGTCGAGCATACGTACCAGAAATTTGTGAATTCATCTACCCTTCTGTTTATCAACTGAAGAGACCAGGTTGGACAATCTGATATCAAGCAGTATTGATATTGGTTTTACTTAATATAGGTAGAAATTTATTTCCAAGTTAAAATAGTCTTTTGGGGGTACTGCTGGATTATTAATAATAGAAAAGCGAACGCGGGGTGTAATAATAGCATTAAGTATTATAAATAAAACTATATCTAGTAAAATACAATCAATAACGTCTTAGAAATAGTGACTCAATATAGCTTATAGAAAATGTAACAGTTATGATTACTGTAAAATAACAAGAACAAATCTGAGGTCAATCGATGGGTTGCCTTATAATAACGTCGTTACTTAGGAATAAACATAATTTAAAACAGCTCATAGAACACTTAAAGTTCTAATTGATGTTCAATAAACTAGTGGTGTAAGGCATCGTGTCTTAAGGCAAATTGCTGGAACTTCCCGTACCAAAATCGGATTCTTCGTTCTCTTAAAAACTGAGGTACCGTTTTTGGCACTTTTTGTCTTGTATCTTGGGAACCGCTAGACCTGCCTTTGCCAAAAACTCCACCACAATCTCTACAAAACACCACATCTCCTTATCAATATGAAACAAAATTAAATTATTCAAATCGGTTGATCCGCACACACACACACACATACATCTATTTACGGGTATCCCAAAATGTCCAGGAGGTTTTGAAACGTAAAGATTTATAAAAATTTTCATTTTCGATTTTTTTGCGATTACTATAATTTACCCTACGGGAAGTTAATAAAATATCATTTTCTTCGGCTTTGAGTCAAAAACCTTTGAAATTCATATTTGAATCAAACTAGAATTGCGCCAAATTTATGCGTTCTGATTGGACGAAGTTCTGTGACAAGTGATAGGCACAGAGGCGGCAGTGGGCGACGACGACGGCCTAGCGCTTCAGGAGCCCTCGCAAAGATTTTATTTATTCAAAATTTGTGTAATTTCTGAAATAATTTAATTAGCAATAACCAGTAAATCCCATTTACTCTTCATTTATCAGCTTAGGTAATTTAAGGTTGTTTTTATGGAGAAGCAGAGGAGCTCTCAAGAACCATAATTTTGCCTCCGCCTACAACTATTCCAGTTCCTCCACTGGCCATGCAAATTCGATGCGACATGTGCATCCTGAACCACGTGCTTTATATCAGTGTGTAAGTGGTGAGTGACATTAAAGGTTGTGCCAGTGCAAAAATGACAAAGTAAGTAATAAAATTTCATTTACTTAGATATTCTGTAATTAAAAATGTTGAACGAATATTTCTGCCCCATATTTATATGTTTTTATTATGCATTAATTTCATACCATGGCATATAATATACAAACAATTATTTTATTGAGTTTTGTGTGCCGGTTTACGCCATTGCAATACAAGATCAGATTTTTTATAATAAGGGATTGGGTGTCTGACGTTTATTTGACAATGGCGTTAACACGGCTTAGGAAGAGTTCACTAGTAGAATTGGTAATTTATCGACACTATTTTAAAAACCGAGTATCCCAAAATACTTAAGGGGCACAACTAGTGTAACCGCCTAAAAAAATGTGATTTTTGGGAATTTATATTAAAAAAAACTACTTTATTAATAATTTCAAAATTTTAGGAATATATTTATACATGTTTTAAGAATACATAATAAAATTTTTGAAGGAAAAAATTAAATATTTTTTAAGTTATCGTCAGTCTCCAACGGCGCGACAAAAAAAGGCCCTTCACTGCTGCAGTGATTCCGGCCTTTTACGTGGATGCAATTTAAAAAAAAATCTCGTTAAACTAGATAATATTGTCTGTAAAATGAACTACGATAAGAAAATCAAAAATTGACAAAATGACGGCGTTTTTTTAAAAAAAAGTCGATTTTACCCAAAATTTTGGTCGTTTTTGGACTGCCAAAATTCGATTTTTGATTCGATCAAAAAATAGATAGTGCATTTTACGGAGAACTATATATAGAACATGTAAAAAAAAATGATAGTGATCGGATCATTTGTTTTTTAGTAATCGCTGCAGCAAGTTCGGAAAATGCTGTTTCGAGAAAAACGCGTTTGAAGATAAAATGATCGTTATACTATATACTATATAGATACTCTTTAAATGGCTGTAACTCAAAAACTATTTAAGATATCGATTTAAAATTTTGGCATGTTATTTCCAAAGGTATAACCTATCGAAATATGGAAAAATTGAAAATTCGATTTTTTGAAAATTTCACACTAGTTGTGCCCCTTAAGGGTCTTAAGGGGCACAACTAGTGCGAAATTTCGAAAAAATCGATTTTTGTTTTTTTTTCATATTTCGGTAGATTACACCTTTAAAAATAATATATAAAAATTTCAAATCGATAACTCAAATAGAGTTATTTTTGAGTTAAATTTGAGTTACAACCATTTAAAAAGTATATATATAGTATATAGTACAACGATCATTTAATCTTTAAACGCGTTTTTCTCGAAACAGCATTTTCCGAATTTGCTGCAGCGATTACTATAAAACAAATGATCCGATCACTATCAATTTTTTTTACATGTTCTATATATAGTTCTCCGTAAAATGAACTATCGATTTTTTGATCGGATCAAAAATCGAATTTTGTCAGTCCAAAAACGACCAAAATTTTGGGTAAAATTCGACTTTTTTTAAAAAAACGCCGTCATTTTGTCAATTTCGGATTTTTTTTTATCGTAGTTCATTTTACAGACAATATTATCTAGTTTAACGAGAATTATTTTTTTTTCGATTTCATCCACGTAGAAGGCCGGAATCACTGCAGCAGTTAAGGGCCTTTTTTTGTCGCGCCGTTGGAGATAAAAATATTTAATTTTTTTCCTCAAAAATTTTACTATGTATTCTTAGAACATGTATAAATATATTTCTAAAATGACTGATAGTTACATTTACATAGAATAGTTTTTTTAATATACATTTCCAAAAATCACCTTTTTTTAGGCGGTTACACTAGTTGTGCCCCTTAAGTTTTTTATTACCACTATCCCAAATGGATCGTATATTTCTAATTAGATCGTACATTTTCTAATTCGATTCCACCATTTTTCTACTAGATTACCCTTCCGTTGCATCAAGAAATGTATGCGGTAATATGCTTCACACATCTTTATACATCTTAAATGTTTTACATTATTTAAACAAATACTTTAATCATTCGCTCCCTTCACATATTCTTACAGCAATGATAATAATGTACAACAATAATTATAATTGCCCTACTTTTTAATAGCTTTTTTAATTAATAATGAAATTTTTAGCGAGATGTTCCTTTTCTCGAATGATATGCAAACTCACATTAATACATGTAAGTGTTACGGATATGATACATATGGAAACATTTACATAAATGTTAGAAATTATATCTAATTATTTCTATGGAATGGATTATATGATAAATTGGGGAAATAATAATTTTTAGTGTAAATTTGCCCTCTGCCGATTGGCGGCCTTTTTTTAATCCATACATTTTTGGTTTGACCTTGCTCAATTACGATTTATTTACATATGACTTCGATATTAAAAATACTATCTGAGAATAAATAATATATTATTAATTAATCATACCGGTGTCGTCTTTTGGATTTTCATGTAAATCAGTGATTTCCAAACTTTGCGTTGCGCTTCCTTAAATTTTCTAATAAATTAATTTCACAAATTGTTCATTTGAACTGATACTATAATTTAAATAATAAGCTAGTATGTTAATTATATATTAATAATTTTTAATTAATTTTTTTATATATTTTTTCCATTAATATGATAATGTTTTCATCTATTAAGATAGGTGTGAAAATGATCGTTTAATAAGGATATTTTTTTTTGAAACTTCTTTGGTTTGCATTCAAAAATGGTATTTCGAAAACAACTGTTTGCTTTTATAATGCACAAAATCTAATTTTTTTATTTATTCATTTATATTTTTTTTATTAATATGCCATTATTTTTAAACCTATCTTAATGGGTGTAGCAGGAATGATGCAGTGGTTTCCAACCTTTTTTGCCATGCGCCCTCCCGCTCTAATAAAAAAAAATGTTGCTTCTTCCTTATTTTTTTCAACAATTTTATTTTTATAAATACTCAACTAATATCATCAGACTTCAAATTAATATTCAATATTATGTAAAAAGATGCATAAAACATAATTTTTTAGTTTATTTTTTATATTAAATTTTTCAAAATTTTTGGTTTATTTTCGAAAATAGTTTTTTGGAATGTGCCGCACGCGCGCTCCTTGTAACAGCCAGGCGTTACCTGAGGAGGCGCGCCCCTACAGGTTGGAAACCGCTGGTATAATGAATAAAAAATATTTGTTTATTCATTTTTTTTGAATATTTTTTTTATTATTATACGATAGTTTTTACACATATTAAGATACTTGTAAAAATTATTATATAATTATAATAAAAAAATATTTAGACACCAATTCGACGTTTTTGGTTGCTATTCGAAAATAGCATTTTGAAAGCAACTGGTTTGCCTTTTATAATAAATAAAAAACAATTTTTTATTTATTAATTTTCTTTAATATTTTTTTTATCATTATATGGTATTTTTTCACCTATTCTAATGGGTGTAAAAATTATCGTATAATATTTTTAACACGTTAATTGCCATGTCAGTTATATGTATCAGACGCTATGAAGTTCTACATTAGCCATGTCTGACATCGAGAAAAATGTTTTAATAAAGGGTCATGTTTTTATTCATATATGTGGGACATAAAAAATTTTTCAGGTTCGGATTTCCACCTGGCCAGTCGTCAGAATGAGCAACTTTACCGGTTATAACCAGCATAGCTTCCCAAACCGAGGAGGTCATCACTCCTACGGATATAGTGACGAATGTGAGGAAAGACCTCAATATCTGGAGAAAACACGCCGTGGAAACGGTTTTCAAAATAGTAGGGGACGAGGAAGACCTAGTCCATCACAAAGTAAACGAGTCGATATGAACGAGTACAACCGATTAGCCGAAAAGCAGGTATTACAATCAAAAATGTTGTCAGTGACCAGCAGAGGTATTGGAGTCGGCACGACGCACCTCACTTATGTAGCAAAACAATACGATGAGAATATCCGTGTTCCCAATATCTACGCTCAGTTCAGAGCATATCTTGCTCTATTTGAAGCAAAATTAATGAATGTTGTTGAGCATTTTCCTATTGTGCCAAGATTTGCAGATCATATTAATACACATAGAGGCCTCAATGCAGAATTTCTTAGAACAATTATCCGATCGTTTAGCTTTGTTCCAACACCTATTAAACGAATTATAGATGCTATAGGTATTTTAAAGCATGAGGATAAAATTTATTTGCCTGTTATGGCTGCATCTCCAACAACAGAGCAGGGCGTCATAAGACCTAGGCCCGAATCAACTTGTTTTTCAAACCTTCGCGACACTGTTGTCGCCTTATCTGACCCACAGACTAGCCTAAACGTCAGGACATGTTACCATGAGAATTGCGCTATTCCTGGTGCTATATGGGCAAACAATTTATTAATGAATGCTGATGAGATAATTCCAGCTGATTATAATTTTGAAGAAGGTTTGCGTAATGATATAATGTTAATTTTACCTTACTTGAATAGATTAAAGAAGCACGCTCCTAAAATGGTGGGAGGTCCACTTGATGCGAAAATGGTTGGACGGAATTCTTTGTTATTGTCCAATGAAATGGAAAATTTGAAATGCCCAGATAGAAATGCAGGCGAGGATTTGGATGCATATTATGATAGGTGCATCATTGAAGGGAACATAACGAAATATACTTCCGACTGTAAATTAACAGCCGCAGAAAAGATAGATGGGCAGATTAATCTACTTGGTGAGCAACCAACTCTGCAAAATCTCATGAAGCCAATTTATATTCTTCGTGACAGCGATGCTCACGCCTATTATCTTCCAGCTGATTTTAAATCAGTCTGTCAAATTGATTATGCATAAAAAAATTGTTTTTTGATACATTGAGTTCATCTGATACATTTTTAGTTTTATTATTTAATAAAGTTACCATGGCCCAGATGAAATTTTTTCTGGAATTATTGTGGCGATTAACGTGTTAAAAATCATATTTGACACGAATTTGTTTTTTTTTGTTTTTGCTCGAAAATAGTATTTGTGTAACAGCTGCATGCTTATTTGCAACAGCCTTGCGCTTCCTAAGCGCCCCACAGGTTGGAAATCACTGATACATGGACTGATTATATTGAAACGAAATCTTATTAATAACGTATATTATTGTAAATTTTAAATTCATTTACCAGTAGAACCATAATACTTTGTGCATGATACTATTTATCGTAAATCATTAACAAATTGAAATATCAATATTTTAGAAAATGGTAATAAAATTTATTACCATTTAATAAAACATGTATTATATTCAGACATATTTTTTTATTAGCAATGCGCTTTGAAATATGACAAATATATATTACATAAAGTATCTTTTATTTATCATTTGACCTAAATTTTCAACAAAGCCAATTGGTAATGTGAAATATTTCAATACATAAAATTATCACATAAACGTCAATTAAATTTTATTTTATTTGAAGGTAGATTTAATATTTTAAAATCGTCTAATTTGTATTTTGGCGCGTTCTGAGCGCAGAATAACTTATAATAATTTATGAAATAAATAACATTTTAGGGCAGAAGTATAACATCTTTACACACACCTAAGTTTAATATTCATTATTTACAGATTTTACACGTACACATAATGTTAATTATGTTTTTTAAGGATGATACTGAACCTAATTGATTAATAATTAAATTTAAAACACATCTACGATATTTTGGAGGTCTTAAAGTTGTTAAAAATAGAACGCAATGGAATGTAGAAATCTTGAATACTTTCAAGTTGAGAGGAATGCAATATATATTTATATAATATTTAACAAAATTAAATTTTTTATTTCTGAAGGTTCAGAATCATTCTCGATGTAAGCTTAATAGTGAGTGATTTACCCTACGCGTGTGTGAAGTATTTTTTATCCTTAAAACAATTACATAATTTTACATACGACAACTGGAATTTCAGTACATCATTTCACTTGATATAATAATTTTTATTTCTTAATGAGGAACACAAATAGATGAATTAAAGAGATTGTCTTCAAATCATGTAAATCATTTCTCAATTTGAGATCAAAAGTCGATTAACCTTTATTTTAAATCATTTACCTAATTTATAGATAATCTCACGATAGGTCAATGAGATGTTCATAATTTTTTGTTCATTTACTACTAATATATTTTATATATAAATTAACATCTAATTATTGTTCACTAATATATTTTCAAGTGTATATGGTATATGGACAATATACTGTCTGGTTTTAGTTATACATTCACCCCATATTCGAATGAAAGCCAATTTTAAATTTATGTGGAATTTTGTTTGGCATTTTTAGATAGAGGAATTAGGAATAATTAGGCAAAGGTAAAATTTTTGCACATTTTTTTAAATGAATGCGCCTATTTTCATTATTTGGTAGTACTTAGAAATATTCAAATCGAATGCAAATCCAGTGATTGGACGTCCGGGTATAATGGTCACATATTTTTTTATAGTACATAAATATTATTTAATTTGTGTAAATATTATACGAAGTCAATGGTAAAATAATTTTACAAGTTTTCAAGTCTTTATCTTTTCAAGTCTTCAATAATAAATAATTTTGTATAGACCCTGCTAATATAGAACAAATTATTGTATATTTACTTTTTTGGTCTTACTCGTACTTCTAAAATGTATATTGACATAACTTTATCAATGTGAATTTTGAATATTTTTCAAAAATGTGCAAAAATATGCCTCTTTTGAATTACCCCATAATTTATTCATTTCTTCCTTATTATGACTATTTGTGATTTTTTTCTCTGACATTTTGCATAAGCGTTCGTTGTTAAAAATATAGTTTAGAAAACTAATTGAAGCGTTTTTTCAACCAATTTTTACAAAGATCATCATTGATTGTTGAGGGGATGATTGTAATTTTTTTTTATGAAGCAGTTACAATTTTGTATGGTTACCAGTTTTATATATCACAAAATACGTATATATATATATATATATATATATATATATACACGTCTTTCTATGTCTTCACTTTGGGTGCTTATTTATAAAGAGTGAACTGATGAGAAAATTTATCCAAATTCTTGCATATTATATTCAAATGAAAATATTGTCATGTTGTAAATATTTTTTTATTGAACTAATATTTTGTTGATCTATTGCCAAAGCCTCAACGATTAAAATACAGATCAAAAGGAATACCTTATATTTTATAATGTTTTTTAATAAGAATTTAATTAAAAGTGAGTAAAATACACCAAATTTATGACTAAAATCCAAAAAATTCGAAATATATTTTTGAAACAATATAGTTGTTTTGAAAATATTTATGTTGCTGTCCCAAAATGCTACCTAACAATAACAGTTTAGAGGATTAATCTTTTGTTTTATAGTTTTATAAATTTCACTGAAATAAATATTTAGTTCTAATTGCTCTGGCTAAATATAAATACAATCTATATATCCATAGAAATTGTATTATCCACGTTCATATTCAATTATTTGATATATTATACAACGATGAATCACTATTACATAATGTTTGTCTCTCATGATAGGAATTACTTTTGTAGCAGTATTGCCATTTAGTATTCAAACAAAAATCAACATTTCAAATGGAACGTGAATTTATTATTTATGAAATAGATTTATATTTGGCATTCTATATTTATTTATATTTTGCTCAATAGCTTATATAAATTTGTAATTTTTGATTGCTGTTAATAAATATATGTAAAAATTTTTTTAAAAAATCATATAATTTATGAACTAATGAATTTATTCACTTGGTAGTTTTTAATGTTGATTCTTTTTGCAAATGCTATAAAATATAAGTCCATCAATTATATATGTTAGTCATGATAGTGGCAATAGTTCAACTCAATAAGCTCAATATTTTCAAAATAATTGCTCAATATTTTAATCCAATCGAATATCAAATACAGTACATCATTATAGGGCCAACTCTGGTAAAATAGACCGCAACATAGCGTTTAGTTAGGTTGCTTTCTTCATATAAATTGGTAGTAAAAACTGTCAAAATGGTATGTACTTGCTATGCAGTCGTTAGGCGTTTTAGATATAAAACTCAACCTGAAAAACGTACAAACACCAAGAAAGGATGTTAACATAACTGCATCTTTTGGATGTGCATTTGTAACACAAACGTGAAGTTCGGTATTATGCATAAATCGCTTGATCACGCAGTAAATACATAGTATTTTGGCAGTTTTTACTACCAATTTATATGAATAAAGGAGGGTAACATAGTGTTGCTATGACAACGTTATGTTATAGTCTATTTTATCAGAAAATTGACCCCATATGGATAAATTATCTCAGTTCTGCATTATTTTTACAATGTTTTAATGTAACTATGAACCCATGCAGTCGAAAAATGAAAAGTCGATATGATTTGTTCAGACATACTTGAATCAGTTCTTGTATTTTTATTGTTATTTACATTCGTCCATGATTCTATATAACTTTATGAGCGGGAACACCGCATGTTGTACTTAATACATAAACAATTTCTCACAATAATTTAGGTCATTTTTTTTAAATTTACACACATGTACGTACATAAATTTTTACATATACACATCATACGTATACCCATGGTTTTAAGTATATATATACAAATATATATGCACATACATATCTGGGTTTTTCATCTACCGAAAAATAATTTGAAATCAAATTCCATAAGTATTAACAATAGTAATTTTTTTTCGTCTCGATTTGTCTAAGTTTCTAATCTAGTTTTATGTATTAGAGTACGAATTTGCGGGCGAAGTCAGATAGATGCTTTTTTTTTATTGAAAGATTAGTGAATTAATAGTGAACCCGAGTCCTTCGAGTTGTGGTCCCGACTCACAAATGCAAATATTGTTCAGAAACCTTAGTAAGTACTACAAAGCGAGGCTTGGAAGAAAGGTCGAATTTAGGAAAAGGACCCACGAATCATTAATTTTACTCACAATCAGCTATTTGATAAACCATGGGTAAACCATACTTTTATAACGTTCGTAAATCAAAAACTTTGTTCCAATTCAATCGACATTCCACTCAATATTTTTGGGATCAGTAAAGATCTTGTAGATCTTTGTTTAAATTTGATTGTATCTTACTATTAGTTCAACTTTTTTTAAATAGTCATTTGTGGATATTGTACAAAATTTTGAACAATAGTACAAAATGTTTCATATTTACAGTCTTGCAAATAATCGCAAATCTGTTTAACTAATAAATGCACTAAAAATCCCTTGATGTTTGGACTACAAAGACCCCGGTGTTGCACTCTATACGACTGTGGTGTGCAAAGGATTAAATTCGACTTCAATTTATCACAACATAATCGTTTTTTATAAATATTTTTTTCTATAATGTAATGTTTAGCTGTTGTTATTTCTATTAGTCCCTGTAATGTCCAATCCTAGTTTTCCAAAATTTTCTTAAATTCAGACCTTTTCGACCAAGCCCTGTGTAAATATTAGAACATGCTAGAACACCGCGGCCTGACTACAATGCGAAAGTACAAATTTTCGATATCTATATGAATTTTTTTACTATGAAAATACGTACATGAACTATATGATGCTGTTGATTGAGTTAAAGCGTATACAGGTTGAATAGAAATATTTAGTAATATGGAATATAGCTCTGAATTTGATAGTTAGATATTGTATCAGAACCGTAATCTTTTTTATCAGTCAAAAGAATGTAAATGCAATTTTAATTTAATTATAGTCGACTTATTAATAAAATATAAAATAAGTCCCTAATACATAAAACCATTACTTGTAATTTTAATACCTATGTGTGTATACGTAATTGAGAGAATTTTACTTGCGCAGTTTCACACTCTAACGAAATAATTTTTTAATGTAATAAAAATTGGGAAACAATTTTATAAATAAAATTGATATTGAAGCTGTATGTATATATAAATCTATCACAACATATCAAATAATTTTTCAAATTTATTTGAAATTATCTTTTGAATTTAATAATTTTTATTAAAGTGAAAGTGAATACTTGAGTTAGTATCCAAATAGCTGTGAAATGCGCACAATTGACAATTACCATTTTTACCTCAGTACTCAGAATTCATTTTGCATATACCAGGTAATCATAAGAAAACAATATAACCAAATGCTAAAGAAATTTACATGGTAAAATACTCAGTAGTTGTTTCATATTATAGCTGATTACCTGTTAACACCAAATTTTGTCGCATAAGTTGTATGCGTTCTTTGAAGAGTCGTCGATTTGTCATTTATCCCGATGTGCCAAATTCGTGAATTTTGGATATTTCTAATTTTCAGTGATTGATGTTACAGCTTTCGAATTTTACACATCGTTCTGTCAAATTTTCTTTGAATTGGTGTCCGATCGACGATTCCGCCGGTAGTACTCTTTGTGCGTGCGTACTTTCGTCGAGGGACTAATTAGCAATTGCAATTCGTGTCGGTTGGTCCTTGCGGAGGATCTTGCAGGCGGGTGCCCTTGTTACCACCTGCAACCAGTGTCGGGTCTGAGTCCAGGCTTTCGGACATTTTGTCACAGATTATATCCACGAGACGTTCGAACACGTTCTGTGGGGAGAATTAAAAATTACTTGCTTAGAATTGTTTATATTCACGAACTATCGACACTCTTTTTGTCAATCAAACCATAATTAGTCAAAGACAAGCAATTGTTCAGGGCAATAAAAAATAAAAAAATAGGAAACCGATTCTGCCATAAAATAGACCAATGTTATCGCAAGGCTACGTTATGTAGCAGTTTTCATATAAAGTCGTACTAAAAACTTGTCAAAATCCTATGTGGTTGCTGTGAAGTCAGGTGTTTTAGATAGAAAACTAACCTAGAAAACGCACAAATGTCAAATAAATAATGTTATCATAACTGTATCTTTGAGATATAGTGCAGTAAATGGAGAGAAAAAAGGGTGTAATCTCTGAATTTTTTTACTGTGTTCCAATTTGCACGAAATTTTGGAATTAGGTTTATCTTAGTGAAAACAATTTGGATTCCGCTGCCACCCCCGGGGGGATGATGCCCCTTTTCAGTGGTGTAATTTTATTTTTCCAAAATAACGTCGGATATCGATAGAACTAATTATAAGAAAAAAATGTCTTATAAAGTTTTTCAAAAAACCATTTTGACAGTATTTTGTACCACTTTGTATTGAAACTGGAACGTAACATAGCCTTGCCGTGACAGAATCGCCTATAAATATAAATACATACAATATCGATGTAAATAATATACAGAATATTAAAAAAAATTGGAAATGAGTATTTTTTAAATGTATATATCGCCTAAACCTACAATGACAATGTTTTCACAGCAGCTTTCTAACGTCATGACTGTATAATTTTCAGCACCTCAAATTTTCTAAAGATTATTATTTTCCAAAGGTTATTTTTGCCTACATGCCAATTCTTCTACGTGCTCGGGAATTCGAGAATTTTTTTTTTTTAAAAACGCACTTATCTTTGACAAATTTTTACTCTGTCTAATTGAGAATACTCTTATGTTTATAGATATAGTAGGTCATTGAGCCATTTTTTTTATCCTCTTGGTGGGCTGGTCAGTGATTTGGATTTGTGTAATATTTTAACTTGTTCATGTAAGGTATGACTTTTGTTTTTATATGTTCTCTAACAGTTGGAATTTTCAGATTTCGAAGCAGAAGTTTGTTAGATATATAGTATTTACTATGGTGCATTACTTGAAATTTTTAAGATTTTGTTTTTACACGTGTATGATTTGCTTTTGAAACCCCACAGTTCTACACCGTAGGTCCAAATTGGAATTATAATTGTTTTATAAATGAACACTTTGTTATCGAGAGAAAAGTCTTATGTTCTTCCTGTGAGCAAATATAACTCCGTGATTTTTTAATTAGATTTGTTTTTTCTTATTATATCCGAAAACTGATGACAAGATTATTAATGATTTTATACTTATAAATTTTAAACATTAGACCACTAATGCATTATTTGAGGATAATAAGCATCTATATGTTTGAATGAAGTCCATTTGATTTTTTTAACTGATGCCAGTCGGAAGTAGAACTTTGAATGATTGTTCAGAAGAGATATTTTGAAGTAGAGTAATAAATTATCTAAAATTGAGTATTAGAGTCCAGAATCTGTGCATGCCACTGGAAGAATTGATGTTACTGTGAAGATATGATTTTTTTTTATAATTCAACTAATTTTATCCGATTCAGTAAATTATCATTGATCAACAAGCCTTGAGTTTGTCATGTCATGGATCGTAGACAGATAAATTAGAACGGGGTTGGTTAGGACGGGGTTGGTTAGGACGGGGTTGGTTAGGACGGGGTTGGTTAGGACGGGGTTGGTTAGGACGGGGTTGGTTAGGACGGGGTTGGTTAGGACGGTGTTGAGTTGGTTAGGATGGATTTGGTTAAGATAAAATGATATTAATAGATGCAGCTCAAATGAAAAATAATAGAGTCAAAACATGATAAGGAGTAAAAATAACTATAATATATTTCATACGTAGGAGGAAAAGTAAATTCTTGAAATTGTATGATTCCTTACTAAACCGCATGTATTAACCCTATAACCATGCGAAGTTTCATCCGATTCCCAGGCGGGTAAACATGAGATTCTTGTGGTATTGATATATGTGAAGGGAAAACTTTATAATAAGCTTGGCTGACTCGAAATTCACTTCCGAGCAATGTTTTTTGCGCAAAAGTTTTTTTTTTGAATGACCATTAAATGGAGTGCACCGTGCTTCAGTGGCCAAAATTTTGACCCATCCACATTTGTCTAACGCACATATTTAATTATATATTTCCATCAATCTTCATCAAAACATGAAATTAATGAATACATTATTGCATATACATCTGCATTAATAGTAGTATTAAAGCAGATATTCTGCTCGAAGCCAATTTCGTGCACTTGAAATAATCTCAAACTAGATTCGGGACGATGGACATCTCGTTATGCGGAAGAAATCGTGCCCAATGCGCCGTGGCAATGATAATCGCACTGATAATTCTAAATTCGCTGACATTGGCACGATCATTTGTCATCGAGCATATGCTTTCTATACTTACTTTGACATTGATATTTTCCTTGGCTGACGTTTCGAAGAATTGGACATTCAGCTGCTCAGCCAGCTGTTTGCCGCGCTCATACGAAATGACTCGTTCGTCTTCCATGTCGCATTTGTTGCCAACCAGGATCACTTGCGCGTTGTCCCATGAATACGTTTTTATTTGAGTTACCCTACAGATTAAATAATATAATTAGCAAATTAGACCATCGCTATAAATATGGATTGAAAAATTAGAGTTACGAAGCTTATTTTCAAATTAAGTGCCGAATCAAAAAATTTTTGCCTCGAGTGAATCGAATCAGAAAAAGCCTGCTTCGAATCAACTCGTATCAAGCCTGTATCTAGACAAATAGAAGCTAAGAGAAAAAACATCGATGTATTGATAATGTGATCAAAATTTCAAATTCTGTTGAATTTGGATCATGCGAGTTAACTCGGTTGAATTAAAATCATAGCGAGTGATTCAATATTCATTTAATTACGAAACAATTTTTTTAACTTGTGAATTTTGGATGATTTGAGAATTGAAAATTGATAATTTGATTCATGCAATTTTTTAAAATTAAAAATGAGGTTCGATATTATGGAAACATTTCATTTTTTACATAATTTGTCATAAAAATTACCAGTTGAAAATTTTTTGAGTTTGAGTTACGTTTTAACAAAAAATATTCATATATACATATTAGAAACATATATGCAGATTGAATACCAATTCAAATTTGCATAAAGGCTTTGAAACACAAAAGTATGTATTTTAACGATTCGTTTTTGCTAAACCTCTCTTCGAAATATAGTAATATCCAAAAAAAATGTAAAAATCGATTTCGGTATATTGGTACACGTATATTTAACTTTTGGAGTTTTTTAATATAATTAGTATTTATTTATTTAATATAATTTATATTCTAGATGAGAATCTATGAAAGTAATAATTTATAAATAATTATTGCCGTTATTTTATAAAGTTCTTTAAATATAAATTTTCGTAGAGCAATTTAAAACATAAGCCCTTTTTGTGAAGTGTAATTTAATGTGGTATTCCAGTCTAGAGGTATGATCTTTAGGCGTTTTTTGAAAGGCTGTAAGAAAGGACAAACAATATTTCTATTTTTTTTTACAAATTTGAGAAATAATTAGAGAATAATGACAAAATTTAATAGAATGACAAGTTATAAAAAATGTTTTTTTTTACAAAATAGCGAGTATCCGAAAAAAATGTTTTCTACAGCATTTTTTATGTTTTCGAATTTTTTAAAAATAATAAAAATCATAATTTGGGGATGAGCGTAGGTCATACTGAAAAGAAAGTCTATAAAGAAAACTGAAAATTTTAAGTGAATCGGTCAAGTAGAAATTAAGGAATCGTGGGTATCGTATCGAAAAAGACGTGTTCAATGTTTCGCGTAGGAAGAAAACAGGAGGAGGATTTCGTGGTCAAACAGATATATCACCGAAAATAATTTAAATCTTGAAGGATTCTATTGTACACACACTTCTAAATAGTGAAACTTTAAAAATGTGATAAAAAACAATCGATGCCTTTAATTAATATAAGCTGAAATGGTTTGAACTAGAGATGGGTAACTCACTCCGGAGTTATCACTCCGATATAACTCCTCTTTTGGAGTGAATCCGTGTGGAGTTGCCTCACAGGATTTGTCATATCCGACTTCCCTAAACTACTTCTTTACTAATACAAAGATTTGTGTTGAAAGAAGTGATATTTTTTTCGTCTCACAGCCAGTTTTAGGACTTTCCAGGTATATAAAGTCTCAAAATAATCCTATTTTCTATTCTATATTCTGTATGCGATAATGTTTGTCCGTAAATGAGCTCTTTCAATGGTATTACAACCAGCTAAAAATATTTAGTAATATAACATTTACTTAATTATGATTTTATAATTGTGTAAGAGTAACAGTATGCTAATCAAACTACCCGATGTATAATTAATTCTCGAAAAGGAACTATTAGAAGAATGTGAGGTATTATTATTTTGTGAAAAATATTATACGCAAAGATTTGTTCTTATTTCGTATATAAGGTTCAATGCATTATTTTTATATAAAAATAAACATATTCAAAGAAATCTATATTTTCTTTTCAGAAATAATTACAAAATTGATTTTGATTTCCAAGTTTTTTGTCAATTTGAGATTTGTATGCATATTGAAATAGTAATTATTATAATAAAATGAACAAAAATGTTTGAACTATTTGTAAACTATTTCCAAAGTCTTAATAAATCCTCAGATATGCTATAGACACACTAGAGAACACATTTGTGTCAAGTATCATGTTTCAAAGTTGCCGGAATTGTGGAGTTGTTAAGTGGATATAACTCCTCTCTGAAGCGGAGTCAAATCCTAACCGCTCCGGCTTCGGATATGATAAGCTCATCTCTAGTTCGAACATTAGTATTGACTTTAAGAATCACCATAAAAGTTAATTATTTTATCGGTCCTTTTTATTGAACCTGCACTAGGAAAGTATATTATAGATCCTATCCCATAATATGTATATATAGTACTATTTTTTTTAAGTACTTTGTGTAAAATATTGTAAATGTAAATATAAAAAAAGTGATTTATAAGATCAATGACTTCTTAACAGCATTGTACGAGTATATTCAAAGACAAAACTTTCGAACGTTTATTTGCAAAACTAAATTTATCTCAGAAGTTAAACTTGTTCAAATGAATGATCCGATAATAAAATAAACAATTGTTCTGACGTGTTTGTATTTCAATAATGTTCCAGACGTGTAGTGTATTGTTTTATGCGAATTATTTTCAAGTGTTTGAAACATACCAATCCTGCACGCTGTTGAAACTTTCCTCATTTGTTATGTCGTACATCAGAATGAAACCCATTGCTCCACGATAGTACGCTGTCGTTATCGTCCTGTATCTCTCTTGGCCGGCTGTATCCTGAAAAATGAATAATTTTATTAAATAAACATAATTAACATAAAATATATTATCATAAACAGACTGTGAAATTCTAATTATATTGTAATAACTTTTTTTCAACTTCAATACTATAGGTTGCTTGGATTTTTTTCTTAACAGGGCATCATCAAGAAAACATCTTTACTTTCACTTAAAAATAATCAATATGATTTCCAATTAATGTCTTTCAAACACACTTATATCTGTAATTAATAAAAATAGAAGGCTAGTGATCGAGGATGATTAATATCACGGGGTTAATCTCTAATAAAGTTTATGTATTGATATTTTTAGTACGAGGTCTGTTCAAAAAGTTTTCGTAATTTTCGTTTTTTCAAAAAAATATTTATTTATTCGTCTACATTAACACTAAACATACCATGACGGGTCAAATGACCCATTTTGAACTTTTGCATTTAAATGCACGTATAATTTCATTGCGTTTGCACATTTGACTTCATGACTTTTTTTAAGTAATTAAAGTACAGTTATAAACAATTTTTTTTTCTTGTTTTGTTTTGTTTATTCTGAGTTATCCTTCTTGTATACCGATATCTACCACAATGGGTCATTTGACCCGGAGAGAATTTTTTGGTTTATGAGATTGTCGAGTCATATTTGTAGTCAGTAAGTTGCACATTCTTCTAAGCACTGAAAATAGCTCATAATAATTTCAGGAAAATACCAAAAATTTTAGATTGAAAATAGCTTTTTATTGTTAGAAAAAGTGACAGAAATTGAAAGTCTTGGTAAGTACTTGGCTTATATTTTATTTTGATAGCTATAGTAATACAGGTTATTTTTTACCCGGAAAAATGTCGAAGCAAACAAGACATTACAAGTTCTTAGAAGATATAAATAATATTGGCGAAGAGTTTTCAGAAATTAGTGAAGATGAATTTTCTGAAAATGAAGATATACTGGTTGAAAATGAAAATGAGTTTGATTCAACAGATACCGACGATAAAGAAAACAATGATAAACGTTTACCTGAAACTGTTTCATATTACAATAAAACCAAATTTGATGTAGACATGACCGATCAAATTTACTTCAAAAATTTACTACAAAAACCAAGTCTTGCAGATGGCCTCTCCTAGTTTTTTTCAATATCCTTGATTTAGCTAACATAAATGCCTGGATTTTGTAAAAGCAAACGACAGGAGAAAATATCTCGCGACAAGATTTTTTACTCAAGCTAGAAGAAGAACTTGGCGCCGATTTTCGAGAAGTCCGTGAACAACCAAAACAAGAAAAAAATACGAAAATATCGTTGCTTAAGTCTACTACAGATGCTTATAAACGTATGAGATGTCAAATAGAATACTGTAAAGAAAATAAAACCAAACTGTAATAAAAAATAAAACCAAAATGTACAATGATACGATTAACTATGAATTAAATTTTTTTATTTTTGCTTTTGTAATAGAAATGCTCAACATACTTTTTTCTTTAATTAAAATAAATTTAATTTTTATTTTTATTTTCTTCCTAACATCCATATTTCATACATTCAAGCATGAAACATAGAGTCGGGTCATTTGACCCGCTATGGTAGAATTAGGTATATATTAAGTCTTGGTATGATTAGTGTTAATGTGGTCCCCTTCAAAGTAGTCCCCCCCAGATATAATACACTTATGCCAGCGTTTTTTCCAATTTTCGAAGCACCCTTGATATTCACTTTTTGATATGTCCTTGAGCACTCTCGGCGATTTTCTTCAATCGAGGAAAACCGCCGTCCTTTCATGGGTCTCTTCAACTTTGGGAATAGGAAAAAGTCACACGGAGCCATATCTGGTGAATTTTTGCACTTTGCAACACTTTATTTCATTTTTTACGCAAAATTTAATACAAATTCTTTGACTTTTTCAATTCTTCCATCGTAAAAATCGCCGAGCTCAGAAAAACACGTCGAACCTTAGCGACTACCACAGACAAAGTAAACAGTGAATATAGCTGAAAATTTCATCATACTTTAGGGGCATGTATACCAACACAATAAAAGAAAAATTTTGACAATCAGACACTCCAGACCCGCGAAATTTAATTATTAGTAATTCGGGTACTTTTTGAACAGACCATGTATATAATTTGTAAATACATCACTAAAAATTGAATTATTTTGTTTAACAACTTTTAGTATCTATTTCGTCTCAACATATATTTTATTAACGTGTAGACGTCAGCTGTAATCAGTAGATACCTACAAATACACACAACACACATGCTTCGGAATAAGATTTTTGTTTCTCAGTTTTGTGCAACGATCAGTCAAGCCGTTTCTTTGTAAATAGCAGAAAAGTGGAAAGTTTTTCGTCCACGTTTTAGCCCGCAATTCTGAATCGATTTTGAAAATTCAAAAACCGTTCGAAAGATATTGGCTCTGAATCATGCTGATCAGTTTTTGGTAAAGATCGAACGGGCTTTTTTCTTGTAATAAAGTGTTAAAAAAATTTTTTCGACGAATTTTATGAATTTTTTTTGACGTTAGATACCATAGTCTTATAGATTATACTAAAATGTTTCGGCCCCACGACAAATAGTTTAATGTTAAAAATTTATCAAAGTTTGAGAAAAAATTAGTTAAAATTTGTGTCAAAAGTTACTTTTGTCATGTGATGAGTCAAACATTGTTATTTCATTAATACACGTGTATATGCAATATAATTAATATAATTATAGTTAATTTAAATGTGTTCAAAGAAATTATATTCAAAATCGCAATCGAAAATTTTATCTAAATATCTAAATTTCAATTTTGATCGATTAAGTCAATTTTCACATATTTCGGGAAGTTTATGCAACTTGCCTTAAGGCTAAATGCCACTTTCAACTAGTTTATTTTTACATATTTTGTCAAATTAATTATAGAAATTTTTTTTTGAATGTGTAAGTAAAAATATTTGGAATAAAGGGTCATTTTGGCAGATCACCAAAATGTTGCCAATTTTGCATACAAATCAGCCATAACCTAAGATGCAAATCGCGTAAGAAAAATAAAACATTTAAGCCATAATTAACCAATAACAGTTTTTGATAAGTTACTTTTAATTTATATTTTCTACTTTATTACTTCATTAAGTAAATGTTAAAATTAACGAACGTATTTTCTTAAAATAACTTAAATTTTATTTTACTACTTTTGAATATATTCTCAAATCTCATCATAGTTTGTCCTTTACAAACGAATGATAAAAGTTTGTCGATTAAAATTAATGCAATTATAAGAATGCGGAATAAACAAGAGAATTGAGTGCAATTAATTTTAAAGCTTTATTACATCTAATTGGAAATGCATTAGAAGCGATTTATTTTTTAAAGGTGTTGTTTTAAGAAAATATACGAAACATTTTTTAATCCTACTTCAATTATTTTTCAATGACGAAGTAATCATGGTATTTTATTTATTTAATTTAAAAACGTTACTTGGAATTGCGTTTTGAATTATTATTACATGAAGGTCGTAATATTGCGTTGTGCACTAATATGGTATTCGTGCAATTGAATAAAATTGCTTGATTAATTTATATATATATATATACTAGATGACCCGAGAGACGTTGTCCTGTATCCACCATCTACAATTTAAGTTCCAAATTTTTTAATATACTTTTATATATTCCTATACTTTTTAATATTCTATTTAGTGTCCTTCCATTTATGGTCTTAGCATAAGCTATATACATAATCCAGTTTTTTGAGTATAAGAAATTCAGAAAGAATAAATATAGTATCTGAAGTAAAAGAATAAAATCTTTATTTCCAACTAATATAATCGCTTCAATAATTTATATAATATATAATAATCTATAATTTTTATAATCGCGTACCCTATATTAGTTGCTTTTTGGCAATTACAATTTCTAAATTACATTTTTTTTACTAATAATTTAATAAAAATTATTACTTTATTTAAAATCTTAGGTGAATTGATTTTTAAAATATAGTTCATATAGCACTATTAAATCTAAGATCATGATGAAACAAATGAATTTTTAACACATAGAACAAAATTCTAAATCATTTTTTCAATAAGTGGAAATATTATTTTGTATTTAAATGATTCAGTAAAGTAAGGCAAAATCTAACATGCATAAGTTTAAAAAAATAGTGTATATGCAATTTTGGACATACTGTGTTATTTATCAATGATTTCATCTGCCAAACGTATATTGTATCAAATATTGTTTTAGTTTCTGGCACATCTCAGCTGGTTTTCAGCAATAATATTGTAGATATTACATTTTTATTATTCATAATCATGAACATGGATATTATATACTAATATTGTCTAGGCTCGCTTAAACTAAATTCAAATTTCAAGTGAATTGACATTTTTGGCAGATGACAGTTCTCATGTATCAAAATGTTTTCGATGTTAAACTTTTACCATTTATTTTTACAATATTACTATATTTTTATAATCATACATCCTAAATAATCCTTAACAAACATTAGAAAGATTTATCAAAATCCGAATAATCGTTTAGGAGGAGTATATTTACATACATGATATGTAGTACAGCAATTATTTTGTAAGATCGCCAGACTTTCTCATATAAATACATAAATGTGTGTATGTAATGTACCATAGTGCGTAAATGATGTTATAGGGCTTTATCAGAACTGATGAAAATGTGGTATCTATTTAATTGCTTATTGATTTTTATGGCAGGCCATATACAGTTTAATAATACCCCGGTCACATAATACTGTATATATATATATATATATATATATATATATATATATATAATATAAGACCGTCCTCGTAATTTCTAAATGATTTTCTGCATTAAATCTGTTCAAACAGATAAAAAGAATATTATGAGCTACTCGCCAAACTGGGCAAATATGTCAAAAAGTTTCGTTCAGTATAAACTAACAGAATATCACGAATGACCCGAATATTTTATAAAACTTTGTCCACAAATCTCCTTAATTAACTGTTCTATTTTTATACAAATACTAAATTA